TGTATCGCCACCTCGTTCGGCGTGTAGAAGCTTGGCCGCCCCAATTTCCCCATTTCGGCCGACAAAACTCGCGAAAAGACGACGAAATACACGGACCGAGGATCGCGAAGCTTCCTGGTTGCCAAGAGAGACCAGGACCACAATGCCTTGCGATCTTACTGAACTCACGCCGATTCTCGGAGGTTCTCGTGAGAACTGTCATGGCGGAGGGGAAACCGGAAGAAATGAGGGTAAGGGGAAAATATTCAATTTTTACGAAATTCCTTAGATCTAGCGGCGATTCAGCACATGCTAGGTGTTAAGTATTGTATCAGGAGATATACGTGGTAGTTTCAGTGCCTGTGGTGGAATATTTTTTCCGAAAACTGGAGATAATGTCACGGTGGGGAGGGGGTGCGTGTCAGAAAAATTTTCGACCAATTTGCGAGAAGCACATATTTTTGCATAGGGCACATCCGTAGAAATTATTCAATGAATAGAATATAGGGCCATTGCACTATAGCAAGCATGATTACATGTCGTTTTTTGGCAGTTTTGGCAAGAAAATACTGATGCAATGTTGGTGTTTATTTTTCTTTTATAATCAAAACAAATATTTTGCACAGTTTGATGCAGATACACAAGAAAGCGAGGGCCGGCGGAAACTCCGTAGCTGGCTGAACAAGAGTCTGCGTGTGAGCATGACAGATGGGAGGACTCTGATCGGGGTCTTCCTCTGTACAGACAGGGACAAAAACGTTATTCTGGGGTCATGTCAGGAGTACATACAAGATCCAGGTAGTTATGTTTACCTTCGTAGACAAAAACATGTTGTTTTTGCTCTTTTTCTTCTTGTTCTTTAAACACGTAAGGTCAACCAGATGTCTGTTACCATGGTAACTAGTGCTGTAGCAGACACTAGCCTGTTGTGTTGCATTACAATTGCTAGTACATGTATGTAGCATACAAGTTGCAGGGCAGAGTTGGAGGGACTGAACAATGGTTACCATATTGTCAATGTGTCTTTTATTGCCTCTTCTTACAGATAGCACATCAGGTGATGATCCCCGGGTGCTGGGACTGGCCATGGTTCCTGGACATCATATCCTAAAAATAGAATATGATGACATCACAGCCAACCAGATCATGTGATCCATCTTCCCAACATTCCATCGCCAGGCCTGTGTGTGTGTTTTGAAGCACACAAGAAGGGCAAAACAATTGGTGACACTACATGCAATGCATCAGCTAGCTTGTCCTGAACATCATGGGCAAGAAGACTTGAAGAATGAGAAGAGCTGACATACAGGATGTATTTTTGTACCAGGACTGCTAAAAGCGTACAAGATCTCCAGTTGCTGAAAACCAGTACTTTGGCTTGTACACTTGAAGGCGACATGATACAAGCCCTTCTTGTCTGAGTCCAATTATGCCTAGAAATTGTGTCAATAAAATGTTTTGTATATAGTTTGTCATTTGTACCTTACTGTCTCATTGTCTCAAAATCATATTTAGCTATAGAAAAATGCCATATGTTAAAAGAAACGGGTAAGTAAAGACTTTCAAGTACAAAGTGAAGTTCAGTTCAAGTGAATCAAAAGTTTGAATGTTCGTGTGCTAGACTACCTGCTGTTCACAAAGTTTCCGCTAGGTGCGCTGTTGCGCGGTGCATGACTTGCAGGCTGCTCAGAACAGCTGCGCACTGGTCATCCTTCTGCCCAGCTTAGGAGAGCACACGGACACACACCCCTCTTCTTTACTCCGGACATTTCTGGACATTCTCGTCGAGATTTCGCCATGGCACCCGAACCACAGTAAGTCGACACGTTTAGCAACATATCTGGTAACAAATAGATACTTGCTGCCTTCGCTGAAGGTGTAGAATTCTGTGAAACGGAGGGTATTAGGGTTACTTCCGTGTTGAAGTCATGCCGGGGTACCCGGGTATTACTAGTAATCGACTGAAGGAAATTCGAAAAAGACAAGAATTCAAGTTAGCAAGTTTGTGGGTAGATATGTGGGGAATGTTTTATTGTAATCTTTGGACAATAGATCACACGGAAATTATTCTGCTGTTGTGAAATGTACGATTTTTTACGTGTAATTTTCTTCCTGTTATATGATGGGGTTACTTGAGTTCAACCTCTGATGTGTGGTGTCCTTTAGAAAAGTTTTCCCTCAGTACACGATCGTTTAACCTGTAAGTTTTGTGCCCTGGCCTGACATTTGTCCCATTCTAGGTTAATTACTTTATTAATAGATAAAGCAGAGTTTTATGGTTCTTTCATTATTAAGGGTGGGGCTATAGGGTCAAACAGGTGCCCTCGAATTAAAGAAACAGTGGCCTCTAAACAAATGGAGTGAAAACTGGTCCGACCACTCCAGCTACACTCAGCATTCTTCACTTTGTGATAAAAGGACCCTGAAGGCTAAAGTGAGATTCTAAAGCTCACAGTAAACATGTACACGTTTCTTGGTATTGAGGAAGTTGGTACAGGAAGTCGTGTTTCCCAGAAGCTATCAGGTTACAG